CATATGGACTCCCCCTTATTCCTCAAGCACGGAAGCCTCTGGTGAGACCCCGATAAGGCAGTTGAGTCATGCCTACCCTTACTCCCAGGCTGGTCTAGAGTTGACAACCACATTGCTACGAGAGGGTGGGGGGAGGTGAGGGAACTGATCAGTGAATTGGGGGTACTGGTGGCAAAGAACAAGGCCCCTAGAGGTATGAGTAGAAGCTATCCAGTTCTTGCTCTGGTCTGAGAACTTTGCTCCCCTTTCTGTCATGTTTTATGGAACAGCAACAACGTCCCCACCCCCCCAACTGTGTCCCCCTCCCAGGAAACTCCTCCTCCCTCAATACATTCCTGAGATGCATTCCAGAGGAGTTGGGCAATTGTAGGGGGGGAATGGAGGACAGGAGGTCAAATCCCAGCAAGGAATGGAATGTAAGTGTATTGGGGCTAAGACATTAGGGGTACGTAGAGAATTGTCAGAGCAGATACCCACAAAGGGAATTGCAGAAAGATACGGAGTTACAGAAAGGAACAAAGGGAAAGAGAAAGCTGAAGATAGAGTCAGAATGTAAGAGGGTTGGGGGAGTAACACTCAGTCTGTTACCAAATTTGGCCTCTGAGTCCGCAACCACGGGGAGGGAAGGAGGGGGGCCGGTTTGTGGGTGAGACTGACATATCCGGCCTCAGGCTGCTGGAGGCTCATTTAGGGCTGGACTGGGCAGCTGAAGGACTACCCAGCTGAAGGAACTTTCCCCAACACAGCCTCTCCACACCTACACATGCACACTCATTTGTCCCCAATACACTCCAGCCTGTGCAGAGCTCTTTCCCACAAAGCTACCTACATTGTTTTTACATACACACTATCTCATCACATAGTCCCTACATAGATCCCCTCATGATTGCATCATCTTCTTCTGGGGATCCCATTCCATGCACAGTTTCCCCACAAATACACCTCCATCACAAGCAGACCATGCCCCAACCTCTTTTCTCCCATTACATATATATTCTCCCTCCATTCACCTAGCAAGCACTCCTTGAGGGCCTGTTGTGGGGAAGGCTGGGCTAAACTTTCAGTGGCTGGGAACCAAGATGAGTAAGACCTAGCCTTTGCCTTCCAGGTACTCCCACTCCACAAGATGAGTAGATAAGCTAAATACAGAATTACAATAGAGGGCAGGATGTAAGGTGCATGCTCAAACGAGAGATCCCTTTAGGTTAGGGAAGGTGGCCCAAAAAATCTCGATCAAATGTGTCACTTGAAGTTAGGATTTTAAAAATAAAAGCTAATAAGAATTAATAATGATCTGTCATTTATTGACTATATGTCAGTATACATAATTTCACTTAATCCTTACAATAACCTTGCAAGGTAGGTGTTATTATATCCATTTTTACAGGTTAGGAGGTTGAGGCTCAAAGAAGTTAAATACTTGTTCAAAATATTTGTCCAAACAATAAGTTGTGAAGCCCAGATCCGAACCCAGGTTCTCCCTGACTTTAAAGCCCAAGTTCTGTCCACCATGCTAGCCGGTGATGAGTCAGGGGTAGCATTCCAGGCAGAGAGAATAGCATAAGCAAAGGTGGAGAAGCAGGAAATCACAGAGGAGCATTCAGGGAAGTGAGCAGGCAAGCTGGTTGAAGTACAGGGTACATGCAAGGGAGCAGTGGAGGGGAAGTCAGGTTTAGGATGGAAAGGCAGGGGAGGATTAGAGAAGACCATGAGGAATTTTACCTACTGGAGGGCAACAGGAGGCTTTGAGCACAGAAGAGACATAATCAGAACTGGTTTTTAGGAAAATAACTCTGGCAGTTACCTTGGAGATTGGTTAGAAGGACACCGTATTAGTATGAGTAAGAGGTAATAAAGCCAGAGTTAGAATGGTGGAGAGGAAGATGTCACTCAGAAGAAATTTTAAGAGGTAGAACTAACAAGACCTGATGACAGTCTATTCTGTCAACTCTCAGGGACCAGAGCCCAAAGCTGGGCTGGGATCCCTTAGCTTTCTATTGCCAGTAGCCACTTAGTAGCCGGGGCAGCTTGAGTTTAGGTAAGGAAGTAGGAAGAGGGAAAAGGATCAGGTTGGGCTGGGAACGTAAGGATGAGGCCATGGTTAGGAGATGTGGTTAGGCTGTGGGAAAAGGGGATAGGGGGCTGGCTTGTGGCTCACTCGGGAGAGTGTGGTGCTGATAACACCAAGGCCATGGGTTCGGATCCCATATAAGGATGGCTGGTTTGCTCACTTGGGAGAGCGTGGTGCTGACAACACCAAGTCAAGGGTTAAGATTCCCTTACCAGTCATCTTTAAAAAAAAAGGGGGGGGGATAGGTATGTGATCAGGAGTCAGGGAGGGGCAGATAGAGTGAGGTTAGCGACTATATCAGGCTGGGAACAGGGAAGACAAGGTGCAGAAAAAGACTAAGGAAGATGATGGTGATGAGCAAGAAAAATACATATATGATCAGTCACTGGGTCAGGCTGGGGGAAGGGGGGCAATGATTCCATGGATGGTGACTAAGTCACGGAATAATGGAGTGAGGTCAGAGGCCAGGTTAGGCTATAGGGGGTTGAGAAGAGATGGGGCTGTGGTCAGTGGCTAAATTAGGCTGGGTTGGGGGAGGGGAGTGAAGGGACACTGGCAGTGTCTAAATAAGTTGGGGTCAGGGGTAAGGGGTATAGCCAGTGGCTGGGTCAGGCTGGGCAGGGAACAGTGCTGTGGTCACTTGCGGGGTCAGGCTGGGAGTGACATGGAGGTGTGGTCAGTGGCCTGGCTAGGCGTGGGATGAGCAAGACCCAGTTTCCTCTTTGGGTCTCATTTCCTCTTTTCTGTTGGGGAGTGGGGGAAGGGAATCTGCGAGTGGACCAAGAAATTAAAGGAGGCTTAGAACTAGGGGACAGCATATAGCAGGGGCTGAGAATGGAGTATTCAGCAGATGATCAGGTGGTAAGTAGATGTATAAGTGGGTGAAAAAGGTGGGAGAGTGCTTTAAAATGATGGGAAAACTCAGATGTGGGAGAGGGTAAATTAAGGAAGAATGTGTAGATTAAAGGGTAGGGAGGGAGGCAGAATTGAAGACAGGAACAGACAGTAAGAAGGTGAACATGGAGAGTTAAAGGCAAGGGAAATATTCTGTAAGAGGGGTATACAGGAAGGATGTCGTATGCAGAGCCAGGGATGGAAGTTGGAAAGGAGGGCTTAATATCTAGGGAGCGAGGGAAGTGGGAGACAGTGGGGTTAAACTCTCAGGGGAGTCAGTCATCCTCTTTGCCCACAGCAACTGTGTTTCCTTGGTCTCTTTCCCCCTTAGTCATTAGAGTCTTCCTTAGGCATCCCTCACTTATGACTAGGCCTTTTGCATCTCCTGAGTCCCTATCCATTTCCCACCTCCCATCTTATAATAGTCCAAGAATCCCTGCCCCCTCAACTGTGATGGCCACAGCAAGAGTCTTGGGCTTAGAGAGTGGAATAAAGAAGCTGGGATCCCAGATGCCTGCAATTCTAGCTGAAGCCCAGAACCCTAGTCTGAAATTAATTTGTCATCTCTCTGAGTGAAAGAAATCCCTGTGACTACACAGGACTAAGGGACCGCCTCACAAAAGAAGGGCATTTACCTCTGCCAGCCTCTTAAATGCTAACTGCCCAAGCTCAACTACCCCAGCCTCAACCACTACCCCTAAATCTGTCCCTAATTCCTAACATTAACCCGACCCTAATTTGTTTCCTGATTCCCACTACTGGCTTTGACATTCATCCCTTTCCTAGCAGAGACTTGTATCCAATCCCTGATCCTTCATACTGACATAATTTTTACTTTTAGCACCAAATCCCCTGACTTTAACCCTAAATGTTGACCCCTAAGCCTCATTTCTAACTTGATTCGTAACTCACCCTTTTCACTGTTAATACTGATCATGTCAACATTCTTTAATCCCTTAAACGAACTTCTAACCTAATTCTTGTGGCTGACCCTTAACTCAACCCTGAACTCTCACTTGACTTATGCTGGCCATACCAGAAAACAAAATAATGACCTTAACCTAAACCTTACCTACACAAAATGGATCTCACACTAATAACTCTTAAATTTTAACCCCGGCTTTGTAACTCCTAAAGTGACTCTTGATTCCTAACCCCAACCCCGCCTAACCCCAAACTCACCCAAAGTTTTCCTACCCATATACCCGCTATCAGCTAACACCAAAACCCATCCCGCCCTGCGCCCCACTGCCACCCCACCCGTCACCCTCCCCAAAACCTATCCCAGGCAAAAGACTGCTCCCAGGAGGGCCCTGTCTCCGGCAAAACGTACTACTTAACTTCGAGCCCAAGCCAAGCTACCTTGGACGCTGACCTCTCCAACGAGACCCGAAACAGAAGACGCCGCGGAGTCAGCGGCCCCGCCCGCTTCTCCGGCCGGCCCTCGCGGCCCCACCCTCGGCCCAGCTCGGCCCGGTCCGGCCTACCTGCGCTGCCCGGCTCTGTGCCCCGCCCGCCGGCCCGCTACCCGCTCGTTCTCTCGGTCGCTCTCGGGCTCCGGCCTCGCCCTCCCTTCGACACTCTCTCGGCCACTTCCGTCCCTGGAACGTCCCCCACCCGCGGGCGGCGCCCTGGGCCCGCGCTCTATGGTTGCGGGGACTGCAGGAAGCTGCTCTGGCCCCAGCTCTCGATGTTCGGGAGTCGGCCGAAGGCCGGCAGCCCCTCCCCGGCAGGAAGCGAGAGTGCGGCGCAATCTGGAGAAAACTGCCGAACTACGCCAGAGTTCCCCTTTAGACTCTAATTCTTCCTTTTTCTAGCTGGGGGCGAAGGCGGAGCCGGATCCCCAGAATCCCCGCCCTCAGACTGTGAGGAGGCAGCGGGGACGCCCTCTTTATTTGCATAGTCCCCAGGACGTGGCGCGGCACCGCGGCCACTTCCGAGTTGGAGGGAACTACAAGTCCCAAGATGCCATGGGGCTAGATGTGTCACTTCGGTTTTGTTGGAGGCTGCGGAGAATTGAGTATGGGAGGCGGCTCCGGCTTGGGAGGGAAGACTAGGGAAGTCCGGCGGAAGGTGCACAGCGGATACGTGGGGGAGACCGACTATTGGACTCCGGGGTTGGAGCCGGGTGGAGGGGTGAACCCCTTATGCCTGCCCATCCTTTCCGTTGATGTCCCACATGGAGCTGGCGTTGGACCCCGGCGACCAAGGCCTGGGTTTCCTGCTAGAGGAAAGCGGAGATTTGGAGGCGTCGCCCGATGAGGCCGTGGAGGCCCTACTTGACTGGGAGCTGCCGCTTTCTGAGGTGGGAGGGAGGTTCTGAGTAGAGGGGGGCGCGGGACGTCCAAGAGGCCAGGGGGTGGTGGTAGGTTAAAGCCTGTTAATTGGAACCCTGTCCAGGTACCGAGCGACTGGGAGGTAGAGGATTTGCTGAGTTCCTTGCTGAGTCCCCCAGCATCGTTGAACGTTCTCAGCTCCCCCAACCCCTGTACTGTCCACCATGATCACACCTACTCCCTTCCACAGGAACATGTCTCTGTGGATCTGGGTGAGTCTGAAATAAGTAAAGTTTGGGGGGAGGAGAGGGTTCATGGGCATGATTATTCATACTTTCCCTTTTGCAGATAGTGGGAGCTATGGGAAGGAGGGTGCCCAGATGAGTCCATTGTACGTGGAGGAGTCGGCAGAGCAGGTACTTGAGTTGATTTTCGGGAAGATTGTTCCCACATTGCACGGGTGGGGCAGGCTTCCCCATTCCTCTGACATCCTCGTGCAACTCTGCTGCCCACTTCCCCATGACCCTAGGAGACTGCTAGGCTGATACTGACAGATGAGGAGAAGAGGCTGTTGGAGAAGGAAGGGCTTACTCTGCCTGGGACACTTCCTCTCACTAAGGTAAGACTACCATTGGTGGAGCAAAGGCTGGAGGGGGATTGTGAGTCCCAAGTAGGCCAATTACATTAATTTTATATCAACAACTTAAAAAAGTATTGAGGTGAGAAATTTAGCAAGTTTGTTGCTAATAGTAAGCTAGGGCTGGTAGTTAATATGCTAGTTGTAAGGGCTGATCTTGATTTTGTGGGGCTTATACAAATTTTGGTGTTCTCTTTAAGGAATTCAAAATTATCAGCGTAACATTAGTATAGGGCCTTGGAAAGAACTGTGCAAGTGGAAGGCCCTGACACTTAGATTTCTCTGGCTTCGTGGTAACTCAGCTCTTAGTGAATGGTGGAATTGAGTTCAACATGGTTGGATCAAGCAGTATAACAAGAATAAGTGTAAAAATCCAGAGTTTTAAGTTTCAAGCAGTGAGTGGCAACTTCACAAGCACAGTATTGTGATACTATGATGAAATCAATGTTCATTGACAGAAAGTTTAAGGGAATTTTAATTTCTTAAAAGTACAAGATGAGTCAGCAGTGTGATGTAATTATTAGCAAAGTAAATAGAATTTGGAAGATGTATCTATAGCCGTGTTGCCTCTAGAAGGTCAGTGACTGTCTTGCTCTCTTTTGTACTGGCCAGAGCACATCTTAGTGTCCAGTTTTGAGCCCATATTTTCGACAGATATTAAGAGGATGCAGTCCATCCTGGGCAGAGAAAATGATGAGGTAAAAATTTTGTCCAGGGATTTTTTTTTTAGTGGCTGGCTGGTACAGGGATATGAATGTACACTTGACCTTGGTGTTACAAGGTAGTGCTCTAACTGAGCTGACCAGCCAGTCCCAGGTTTTTTCTTTTTTAAACTCTGAGGAAGTGTCAAGTGCCTTAAAATAGCCAAACAGCGTTTGTTCTGTATGGCTGCAGAGATACTAGGTAAGTCCAGTGGATAGAAATTATAAGGAGGCAGATGTTAGTTCAGGATGGAAGTTTTTTTTATTATTTTTTAATTTTTTTAAAATAAAATTGTTTGGCTTGTAAGGGTGTTAACACCTGGTCCTTGGAGGCATTCAGACAGCCACGGAATGCTGTAGAAAGGATTCCTACATTGGGAAGAAGAGTGAAATCAGTTGCCTTCCAACTCCTTGATGGATATCCTCTTGGTATCTCCTGATACTCCTTTGCTGGTCTTCTCTCAGATGGAGGAAAAAGTTCTGAAGAGAGTGCGGAGGAAGATTCGAAACAAAAAATCTGCTCAAGAGAGCCGCAGGAAGAAGAAGGTGTATGTGGGGGGTTTAGAGAGCAGGTATGAAAGGGAGAGGGACTCAGGAGTGGGGGGAACAGAAATAGTTGGGTTAGGTTCTTGAAGGGAGGATATAGGCTATATCCCCATATCCCTGTTATTCCCCTCAGGGTCTTGAAATACACAACCCAGAATCTGGAGCTACAGAACAAAATACAGTTCCTGGAGGAACAGAATCTGTAAGCAACCCTCCAAATCATTCCCTTCCTATCCCTCCCATTTAATGCTTTCTCACTCTTTCCCCTGCCCTGTGCTTGAATTCTAACTGGGCAGCTTCCAAATGCAAGGTCTGATGCTTAGCTTTTACTGGATCTCTAATTCCAAGCTCACAGTAATGGGGAATAAATTTACAAGTAACTAAGGATAAGTTAAGTACCAAGAAAGAGAAAGGGGGAATAAGAAAGACCTCATGGAGCAGGTAATATTCGACAGTGGTTAGGATTCTGGGAGATGGGGTTGGGCGAGGAAAACATTCTAGGCAGAGACAACACAACATAGTTTGGTTTGGCTAGAATCTTAATATAAGTGAGTTGGGCCAGAAGGTAGAGAACATAGAGAATCCCTGGTGAGTATTATGTGTATAGCTGATCAGGCAATAGAGAACTATTGAAGGTATTTACAAAGGAGTTTAAGTCAGGGCAGAGAAGTTGTTGTTGGTTGGTTGGTTGGTTTTGAAGACCTTCATGCATTTTGTTTACAAAGAGGAAGAAATCTTTTGCAAAAATAGGATGAAAAGCAAGAGAGAGGATCCAGTTCTTAGACGGAGAAAGTGGCCTTAACAGGAGGGTTTCACTGTGTCTCAGGGTGCCAGACCAGGGAGTGCTCACCACTGTCTCCTCTCTTTCTCTAGGTCCCTTCTAGATCAGTTGCGGAAACTCCAGGCCATGGTGATTGAGATATCAAACAAAACCAGCAGCAGCAGCACCTGTGTCCTGGTGAGGATGGTGATGGGAGGAAAGATCCTGTTCTCAGGCAGTGGGGATGGGGATGCAATCCAGAACCTTTCTTCATCTCCTTTTTCCTGTGTTCTAGGTCCTACTATTCTCCTTCTGCCTCCTTCTCATACCTGCTATGTACTCCTCTGACACAAGGGGGAGCCTGCCAGCTGAGCACAGAGGTAAGAAGCTTAAGGAAGGACATCTTTAAGGCATGGGCTAGGGGAGAAGCCTGGGCTGGCCTCTGAAGATTCTTTGTCTCCTCAGTGTTGTCCCGCCGGCTTCGTGCCCTCCCCAGTGAGGACTCCCACCAGCTGGAGCTGTCTGCCCTGCAGTCAGAGGTACCAAGGGTCAGCGTAAACCAGTTGCTGAACAGCTCAGACCTTGTGCTCCAGGCCCCTGGTAATTCCTGCCTGCTGTACTATATGCCTCAAGTTTCTGGTACAGGACCTCCCCTGAAATGGCCACTCCCGGACTTCTTCTCACAGTCTCCCTGCCCAGGTCCTATCCTTTTCCTGCAGGCAAATCTTACAAGAAAGGGGAGATGGTTCCCTGCCCACAGTGCCTCATCTGTCATCTTGCAGGGCAGATACTCAGGATAGATGTAAGGATAAGGGGCGGGGTGTCTTAGCAATAGCCTGGGGGGGCCCACCAATCTGTGTCCAAATAAAAAGGAGTGGGAGAGGGCTGGCTTCAGCTCCTATGCCCTGTTAGGAAGCCAGAGGGTTCAAACACACCACACTTACTGGCTTTCTGGGTCTTTTATTTGTACCCATGAAGGGACTGGGGAAAATCAACTGACCTTGAATTTCATGCGTTGAGGGACGGGATGAGGAAAGAAATAAATAAGTGATTCTAACACTTAGGTCACCCTCAACCCCTCTTTACTGGCACAATTGGGTGGGGAGAAGGGAAAGGGCTTGATTGTCCTGGTGGCTCAGGGCTGCAGGAGGTTTGCGGGAGGGAGGAAAGGCCAGGCTGGAGGCTGGGCTGTTAGCACCTCCCTCCCACAGTTCAGAGAGCTCACTCTGGGCTCAGGTTTGCCATGGCTTCTTTTGGTCCAGATTCAGGCCCTATGCCCTGTTTGACTATTGGCCTGGAGGCATTTTTATGCTGCTGCTGTTGAAGGGCCAGCTGCATGGCCCAGATGCTCAGTGGCCGCATGTAGGCCAGTGAACGGAACACTTGCTGCTGACAGTATGCCTCCGGAGTCTGGAAGGCCAGGCCCAGGCGCTCCCACACCGTACGGTAGCAGCCTTCAGCTGTCCGGAAGCCCTCCCAAGTCAGGCCCTGTGGGGAGAGATGACTGTTGTACATAAAACTTGACACCCCCTAAATTTCCACTTCAGATGGACAGATGGAGACAGTAGAGTGTCTACCCTGAGGGAGCTCCTAGGTAGTGGGGGAGATAAACGACCCACAGGCAGAAGCCTGAAGGCAGGAGCTAGAATGCATACCAGAGAAAAGGGGGAGGCTTTATGGATGGATAAGATGGCATTGGGTTATGCCCTGAAGAAGTTTAGTATCTGCAGTTTTCTTGGCCAAAGGACAGATGGTGGAGAGAGATGGGCAAGGGAATGCATTACCTCTTGGATCATAGTGGCTGCCAGCCCGTAGACCACACCCACCCAGACTTCATCAGACTGCACACTGGATCTGTCAGGGACACCATGGGGCTGCATCCCGTTCACAGCCCCCATGGCACCTCCTGCAAAGGCCTGAACGTTGAGCTCAAAGATCGTTTGGAGAGCACGGACCACATGTCGGGTAGGAAATACCTGGAGAGGCAAGGGTGAAAACAAGGTCTATTATACTTGCTTCCTACCTCCAGGGAAAACCTACCTTTCTATCTGGCTCCTCTGTCTAATCTCTCACCTCAGTGTCTCCTTCTCCTAGGCCACAGGCCTTCAGGAACCACTGTCCAGCACACTGGTCAGACATGACACTACGAGACTGAGGCTGAGAGCTGCTATCATAGTTGTAATAGCGGCCTGGAGTAGAGGAAGGGCAAAGTAAGGCTTATGGTGTCCCCACTGCTGCCTTAAGTCTCCTTAGGTACCCCCACCTCACCGTTCCACAACAGTCTTTCGTAGGCTTCTTGGCCCCGGCTGAGGATGGAAGAAAACTTATCCTGGATGTCCTGTGCCCCGCACAGAGCAGCCATCTGGACCATCACAGCCACAGCTGCCAGCCACAGCCCTCCACAGTAAGCACTGATCAGGGACATGGGTTTGAAGGTCAGACTGGTAGCTCCAGCCGCTCCCATGCAATATAACAGACAATGAGTCATTCTTGAGTCCTACAATCCCTTGGTGCTCAGTTCCCCACCTCAGGCCTCCTAGAAACCCTGACCCCCCCAACCTGGGGCCTGTGGTGACCCATGCGTCATAGGTGTGGTCCGCATAGCCTCCATTCTCAATCAGTCCATCAAGTCCTACAATCCCTTGGTGCTCAGTTCCCCACCTCAGGCCTCCTAGAAACCCTGACCCCCCAACCTGGGGCCTGTGGTGACCCATGCGTCATAGGTGTGGTCCGCATAGCCTCCATTCTCAATCAGTCCATCGTGGTCCTTGTCAAACTTCATTTCAGACTCCATCACAGCCTAGAGAGGAACCAAATACTGAAAACCTAGGTACCAAGGAAAGAGAGTAGCCAGCTGGGCTCTCCCCAAACACCCGTCATGCCCCTGGCACACTGGCCACTGCACATGCATCCCTTACTAGACAGACAGGCCACATGTCCTTCAGGAAACCTTGGTCACCCGTTAGGTAATAGTCTCGATAAACCTGCAGCACAAACTTCAGGTTCAGGTCCTTCCATTCAGCAGTATCATGGATCAAATATGCATTGACCCGGAGCCACGGCTCATCATCTGCAGGAGGGGAGGGCGCGTGATTTATGTGCATTGGTGCATAGGGTGGAAGGTACAAAAGTTGGGGGAGGAAAGCTTACCTGGGGTGGAGGGACATTTACCTGGATCCCCAATATCATGGGGGATGACATTCCTCCTTTTCACAGGTGCCATTACCCCACTCATCAGGTACCGTCGCCATGTCAGGTCCTCGCTGAGAGTGGCCAGAGCTGGGGGAGCAGACACATAAGTGGGTGGGATGAGGCAGGGAATGGACAGGCTTGGGGTGGGACACAGAGGTGAACCAGTAAGCAGGATGCAGATATGTTTGAGGAAAAGGGCAGGAAGAGATAGTTTGAAGGACCACACAGGTTCAAGGGATGGGAAGCTAAGAGGGCAGAAACAGCACAAAAGGGACCCTCACCCATGTCATACTGTAGGCTGAGCTCAAGTTTGGGCCAGAGCATGATGAGGGCAAAGGAAGCATAAAAGTGGACATCATATGTGTTGTACATGCGATACTCCTGGCCTGGAGGAATGAAAGAGACACACTGTTGCCAGAATTCCTGCTTCCCCTTCATAGCCCCCTCCCTTGCTTGTCCTCTAGAGCTGGAAGTGGGCACTGTCACCAGTCCACATCTGCCACTCCCTCATCCCAACCAATACACCAGGATAGGCAAAACCCTTCATCATGTTTTGTGGTAGGACACTAACTGATCTCAGGGTTATGGCCTGCCATAGCCCAGTCCACCAATAGCACACACCCTCAAGGTAGCCAAATCGGCCGTAATCCCGTAGGATGGGGCGGAGCTGACACATGCTTCCTCCCAGCTCTTCAGGTAGGGAGTCCTCGGGAACTTCCAGCCATACTGTGCCTCCATCAGCCAGGAAGTACAGTTCATTGAACAGTGCAGATTTATACCAGGCAGGCAAGGATCTGGGAAGTCAGGAGGAGGGAATGATTTAATGTGTGTGGACCTCCCAGGGTAGAAAGGATTCTGAAGGTTAGCAGAGTGGGAGTACCGAGTGAATCTCAGCACAACTTTGGTGGGTAGAGAGTGAAATCAAGGAATCCCATTTGGAGTGAGTCCCTGTGAGAAAGGCAAGAGATGGTCCCCACTGGCACCTGTCGTCCAAAACTGGGCTCTGCCAAGCTGAGATCCTCTCTTCCCAGTTGGTGTATCGGCACAGTGCATAGTGGCTAAGGGCAGGTGCTGCATCACCTTCTCGGCCAAAGAACCTTGTGTACCGCCTGGGGTAGAAAGAAAGAAGAGGGATCAGAACACAAGCTCCAGGTCAGAGCCCCAGTGCCTTGGATCCCTATACTTTCCTGGTCCCCTCACCTGTAGTAGACTTGGCCCTTAGCTCCAAACATGACTCTGGGCATGTCCCAAGCCAGTGAAAACTCAAGGCGGCACTGGCCTCGAGGAGGCAGCTTGCTGGAAACACATACGGCTCCAGCAATGCCTACTCCTTTCTGTGAGGGGGTGCTTCGGCCTGAGAGAAGCACAAGAAGAATCAGCACAGATAACCCCTTCAGCCCCAGGGATAGGGATTCCTAACATGGAAACAAGGCCTATTCATTACCAGGCTTCCCACCCCGGGTCCCAAGACATGGACAACCTCTTCCCATCAACTCCCTGTCAGGTCCCCCCATTACCAGCAGGGGAGTCCAGCTGTCCATCCTGAAGTAGGTCCTGCCACACCTGCTGCCCAGTGCTGTCAGGGTCAAAGGCTGTGATGTGGGTTACCGTGGTATCTGCCTGTTAAGGGGCCAAAGACTCTGTGAGGGCAAGCTCCATAAGTACACTGCATTCTGATACCTCTCCAGCTCCTCTTATGTACTCTCATCTCCAAGTTCCAGAGACTTAAGGACTGTGATGAAGGTGGGGCTTAGGACTGAAGAAATGAAGGGACCACGTTGGGGTGCAGGTGGGTTCAGGGGCCGAGCTGAGGATAGGGATTCAGGGCCTAAGGTATAGGGCAGGCTCTTCCATTACCGTGAGTCGTGCAGCCATAGCCATTGTGTAGGGATTCAGAAGGGTTGGATGATGCAGCAACAGGCCCTGTACAGTCTCCCCATCACGCTCCAGACAGAAGGGCTCATTCCACAAACCCCCTAGGGAATCGTCTCTACCCCCCAGTCCATTCCGCATGGAGAACATGATGGACACATCCAGAGCTTCGTCCCCTTCATTTTCCACATCCCACACAAAGACTCCTACAGGCAGGCTGCTGTCCTGGGGGCAAAAGATTGGACTCAGATGGTCTCAGTGTAGCCCCTCCCGGCTCTACCCCCCAGGACCAGTCCTGGGCTCAGAGGACCTGACTCAAATACTCCACAATATACTTCTGTCTTCTACTTGCATATTTCCATATTCCCAGGCAAACTGCCTACCAGGGGACACAGAACATAGGGACCAATTGGGTGGTGGTCCTGGGAAGCCAGTGTGACGTTCATGGCTCCACCCTCCACTCCCCACTTTCACAGCTTATGGAATTTCCAGCAGAGACAGATCCCAGGAAAGGGAGAGCAATGGAGGAGACATAGAAGGGGAGCCTCACCTGGTAGTCATGGGGCAAGATGGGTGTGATCTGGCGGCAGGTGAGGGTGACATTCTGGCCAGGAAGCTGATAGACAGTCCAGGCTCGGGGATAGAGAGCATGGTAGAAAGCAAAGTACCCACAGAGGCCCCAGTTCCAGCTGCGCAGGACACTTGGCCGCTCCAGGGACAGGACTTGCTGGTACACAGTTTGCCCTTCCCGACGCAAGCATACTGTGAACTTAATCAAGAGGGCAGATAGTCTGGAATGAGGTAACCCACAGGCATCACAAACTAGTCTCCATCCCCTCAAAGAAACTCCTTCCCTTCCAGAGCCTGCAGTTGTTATAACTGCACTACCAGCCTCAAGTCATCCCCCCAACCCAGTCACAACCAAGTCCTGCTGCCTCCCCCTCCATGTTCCCAGACTTCCTCTCCCTTCTCCACTGCTGTGGCCTTAGCACCCT